GTACAGTATGAATCCTCGTATTTATGTCAATATATATTCAGCATCAGAATTAGTTAGGAATTATTGGTCTTGCGCTACAGAATTGTTTCTAATGTGGTTACATTTTAATATACACATATAAATAATCATATCTACTTCAGTATGCTTCTGGAGTTACTTACCACTGGGGAATTTAAGAGAAAGATTTTTTTTTTGTCTCTCCACTAAAATTCTTCCCAGTTCTTAATGGCAGCAGAAAAGACTCAAGTCTCTCCTCTTGCCGCCTTATAAATTCTGTTATTCGATCTTTATCTGTGTATATATGTCATATATCATACAACAGGGTTGGATATGAGTGTACTAGTGTGTTCATGAGATAACTAGACTACATCTTAAAATCACAGTTCTATGACGTTCAACAGCCCCCCCCCTACAAGAGAGAATGACCTCTTCAGGTGGGCATGAGTTCTCTTATCTGGTTAAGAGTCTAAATAAAGAAGCCTGGTGATGCTATCTGCCGTGGAGATGACTTAACGAGGCTAGCCAGCCTAAGAGAATGGAGTCAACAGAGCTTATGTGGAGGCGGGAGGAGGACCCAACTAGTACACGTCTCTAGAGTTCCCATTAAGAATAAAAGTACACATTCGTGGGCTCCTCTCAGACTTCTGAATCCAAAACTTTCAGGGAAAGGATTAGTATTCCTCTCTTTTGTTTCATTCCCCACATGGTTTTTAAACAGTTTTAAGGCATATAATTCATAAATCATACAATTCAATGCTCAATCATATCAAGAAGAGTTGTACAATCATCACCACAATCCATTTTAGAACATTTTCGCCTTTCTTGTAATCATTGTCATTAGCTCCCCATTACCTCCCAAAACCCAGTTACTATCTCTATAGATTTATCTATCCTGGATTTGACATACAGTAAAACAATCCCCAAAAGCTAACAATAAAAATAAAGTACACCCTCCTTGCCACTGATGTCGGATCACTTGTTGATCCCTTGTCCCTGGGTTTGTTAGCACCCACTTCCTTTCCCCACCTCACCTTGTCCCATGTCCCCCAGTACTGTCATCCCGTTGTTCTCTCTTCTGGCTTTTTATCCCACCTATCCCTTCCAGGTAGACATTCTTTATACCATCACAAGACTGAGTACAATGACGCAACAATAGAAAGTAAAGCAATAGCTACAACAACAACAAAACCCTATAAATAGTTCAGGGTCTATTTGTTGTCCTTCATGTGTGCTTTCCAGTTGAGTCTGATGGGATGCCATGCTCTGGCCCCATATCTGTCCCTGGGGACTTCATTGCTCTGCTCCCCCCACTGCTCTGCTGCATGACCCCTAGAGGCTGGCTGCAGCCTAGTAAGCTCAGGGCAGACACAATTCCCACCGTGTGTCTCTAGTGTTGTCCCCAGTGGTGCTATGGGTCAATGAGGAACGCTGTGTTCCATGGTGAGGCCAGCCCTGTGGGGTAAGCAAGCCCACGAGACTGCTGTGTTATCCAGAAAGTGAGCAATGATGCTGCCACGGCGACCAGGTTTGTGGCATCCTCCTCTAAGCACGTGATTACTTGTAAGCTCTGTGTGGAAAACGTTTTTCAGATAAACTGGTTGCTTTGGGGTCTTGAGGCTTATGGTTTTTGTTCATTTCTATTTCTATGTAGTTTTGAACGGCTTGAAGATTTTTGAAAGACAGCACTAGTGAAGAGCAGCTCTCCTTATTTACCCAAAAGCCAATATTTTATTCCATTGGATGTTCACAGTGTAGCTTTCCGCTAGCCCACTATAAGGCCACCCACCAACAATTTTCAGTACTGGGGCCACTTTAGTAATTCAGTAGAAAGGACCTTGACAACAGGGACCTGGCAAGTCTCTTAACACTTCTTGCCACAATTCCCTTATTCATGGTCTGTTCCAACCTCAAATTTGGGTTGTCTTACTGTTGCACTTCAGACTTATTAGACCAAGACAGGGTCCCGATGAGTCACAATCAACTGGAGGACAGGGAATTTGTTGGTTTTTTGGTTTTGTTTGGTGGCTGCACTTTAGACTACTAAAAAAATAGTTCACAAAGGTTTCTAGGGTTTATTTTGCCTTTAATGTGTGTTTTTGGAGTGACACAGCTGAGAAGGGGTTTGATTTGGTTTCATTTGGCTTTGTTATTGATTGAGCCCACATGAAGAAGGCTGTGGTTTTGTCTGTAGAATTGGAATGTTGATCGCTGAAGATAAAGCGAATGCATAAGCAAATGTGGTGAAGAAAGCTGATGGTGCCCAGCTATCAAAAGATATAGCGTCTGGGGTTATAAAGACTTGCAGGTAAACAAGCGGCCATCTGGCTCAGAAGCAACAAAGCCCACATGGAAGAAGCACACCAGCCTGCGTGATCACAAGGTGCCTAAGGGATCAGGTATCAGGCATCAAAGAACAAAAAAATCATATCATTGTGAATGAGTGGGGGTGCAGAGTGGAGACCCAAAGCCCATCTGAAGGCAACTGGACACCTCCTTACAGAAGGGTCTCAGGGAGGAGATGAGCTAGTCAGGGTGCAGTATAGCACCAATGAAACATACAACTTTCCTCTAGTTCTTTAATGCTTCATGACCCCACTTCTACCTTACAAATCCGGCTAGACCAGAGCATGTACACAGTACAGATAAGAGAAGGAAACACAGGGAATCCAAGACAGATAAACCCCTCAAGACCAATAATGAGAGTAGCAATACCAGGAAGATGGGGGAGAAAGAGGGAACCGATCACAATGATCCACATATAACCCCCTCCCAGGGGGGTGGATAACAGAAAAGTGGGTGAAGAGAGACATTGGTCAGTGTAAGATGAAAAAATAATAATTTATAAATGATCAGGGTTTTGGAGGAAGGGGAGGAGAGGGAGGGTAAAAAATGAGGACCTGATACCAAGGGCTCAAGTAGAAAGAAAATGTTTTGAAAATGATGATGGCAACAAATGTGCTTGACACAATGGATGGATGTATGGATTGTGGTAAGAGTTGTATGAGCCCCCAATAAAATGATTTTTTTTAATGGACTGTAATCATCCTCTGACTTTTCTAGGCCTAAGAATGCTGATCTGTAAAATGAAAAGTTTAGACTAGATAATTTCCAAGGTCTTTTATTGGATCAAAAACTCTTGACATGAAATGTATGCAAACACTAACTCTTGACATGAAATGCAGAATAAACATGAAGATGTGGGAGTTGGAACATCAGCCATATTTGGAACTATATATATTTGTAGTGGACCACTTTTTAAAATACTGGCCTAGGTCTGGGGTACATATATTAAATAACCATACTGCTACCCCCAGTGGATAGGAGCATTCAGTAAATGTTTGGTGGGTGGGTGTATGACCATTCAAATGCAACTGAAATGGTTCCAAAAGAGGGAGGAGCTATTTGATCTATCAATTCTCCCCTCTTTTTACAATGAACTGCTGCTTTATAGTGATAACAGTAACCATAGCTGATCCCATGCCTTCTCTTTCAGATCCCAGGCTTCGCTCTTGGGACACACGATCTTATTTATCAGATTCAGAAAATACTTGAGACTTTGGGGAAATTACAGAAGCCCTTTTGGTGCAGTTGGGTAAGCGTTAGGCTAGCAGTTCAAACCCCCAGACGTTCCTTTGGGACAAAGATGAGTCCGTCTACTCCTGTAAGATTTACAGCTCAGGAATCTTATATAGGGTTACAATGTGTTGAAATCAGCTAGATGGCAGTGAGGTTAGGAAATTACTCATTTGAGTAGCAATTTCATTACCTGAGAAACAGGGATAACAATGCTATCTTGCTATACTTGGAGAGAGGTTAACAGTAAATTTTAAATGCCTCGCAACTTAATAGAGGCGCAATACATTGTGGCTACTTTTATTACAATTTAGCTTAAATTTTTACTTTTTAAGGTATAAGCAGAAGACCGAATTGAAAAAAAAGTACAATAGTGGTTTTTAATTATTTTATATAAAATAATAATTTAGCTGGGTAGGAAAGTGCTTACTTAGTAAAATGAATTTAAAATCTGAATGATGGAATATCTTTAAAGAAATAGTTACGTTTTTAAGAGCAAACAAGTATGAAAAGAGAGATACTAAAAAGAACTATTCTAAGATATAGATGAAACTATTTATAATTCACATGTAAATTGTTGCTAAGTATGGTGTGCTCAAGATATTTGAACATAATTTGTTCTCTAAAGTATTTTAAACATTAATGTTATAAATATTGTTTATACTATCATTTGATTGATAATGGTGAAAAGGTAAATGTTTGCAAAGCTTTTGTCAAAATGGTTATAAATTTCACATACCTATATCAAAATGGGGGAGGTTTCACAGTATGGCTCTTTTCCTATGTAGCATTATGTGTTGATATTACGGTCTTTGAAGATTGGCAGAATTTTGTTTTACTCCTTACTTTGTGTAAATAGTTAACCATTTTCCCTGGAGTTTTTAAACTCTTGTAGATAACTTACACTACATTTTTAAAATTCAAGGTTAAGATCCATTAATTCTTTCTACTTTAGTCATTTATCTCTCTTCAATGAGAGGATGCATTATATGGTGAGTTTAATTTTTATTTTTACCTTGACTGTGCTTTCTTAGCACATAATAATCATATACATAAATATTCTATAAGGTGTGCTAAAAAAGTAAGAGGGCTAGAAATGCAAATAACCTATTAAACAAGATTTTTTATTCCTAACAACTTCTTGCTGAATTTGAAAGGTGTTCATTGCTCTATGCTACAGCGAATTCTCATGTTGCCCGAAAGTACATCACCTGCAAGTCAATGATGTGGTGGTTCATTAATGAAACAGTAGTCCAGGGTTTCCACACTTTTCTAAGCCAAAGACAGTCAGAACTGACTCAAACGGCAGCGGGTTTTCCTGAGGATCATCTGACCTATAGCAGGGACCCAATAGATGCTTGTTGGATTACTCCATTGAATTAAAGTTAAGTGAGCTTCCTCGCCTCTTGGGCTTCCTCTTTCCTCACCTGTGAGTGCGAGGGTTATACTGGATGGCCTTGGGGAGTTCCTTCAGGTTCATAGTATCTTTCGGCATTTTTAGGTTAGGCTCTGAATGTATATTTTAACTACAAGTCATGCAGCCATGTAAATTACTATTTATGGATAGCATCAGAAAATCTTTGATGTTTCAGGCCTCCAAATACGATGGCAGTAAAATTGATGGTTGTTTTAATAAATGTTTCTACTTTATCCTGGTTTGTTGTTGTTTTATTTTTCTTTCTATATATTTTTTTAATTTTCAGACTAAAGATAAAACATGAGAGAAGCCTATCAGGTACAAAGTACCTTATTACAAGTTCATATTGCATATAATTACTTTGTTATTTTAGCGTATTTATATTTTTGTTAAAATAGCTTGATTATAGTTATTGTGACAGGAATGCTTTCTTTATAGCTATTTGAATTTCATGTTATTGTTGTTGTTGTCAAGATTTACATACTTCATTCACTGGAGATCTTAGCTCATGTAGTACGATTGAAATATTTTGGAAATCAGAAGTTTCATTTCCATCTCTGGCCTTGACCTGGCTGCCCAAAACTTTTCAGGTCAAATTGGAGAGGTTCAGCACCTGTGAATGGCATGACCTCTAAGAAAACTGAAAGTTTGGTCCAGGTCCCTCATGACCCACTTAAAATTGCCATCCATTTCTCTACTCCTTCAGGGCACATTCCTGCAGAACCTGAAAGTGGGAACCCTGGGAACACAATAGAGAGGAGATAGCCATGCTTCCTGCCTTCAAGGATATTACAGTTTCAGGAGGAAAAAGCAAATAAATAAGAAAATGCCAAGTATAAGTGATAATTAGTTAAGAAGCATTAGAGTGCAAGTAACACAATACCCAATGTCTTAACCCAGGAAATTTACTGATTTACACATGCCTGTGAAGTGCAGAGATAGGACTTCCTGGAACAAGATAAAGTATGTGACCAGAAGCCAGACCTTATTTCTCTTAATTCCTCAGCTCTGTGAGATTATTCCATGGAGTCGCCTCTTTCGTGAGAGCCCCTAGAATCCCAAACAACTCAAAGCAACTCCGGAAGCTGCATGCTACACGATTGACATAGGCAGGGAAGAGTTGTTATAAAGCCAAACTCCAAACTCGCTCTCACCAAGTCTATTCTAACTCATAGTGACCCTTGAGGATGGAGTAGAACTGTCCCTGTGGGTTTTGTGGGTATAAATCTTTATGGAAACAGAATGCCTCAACTTTCTCCCTTGGACCACTGGGTGGTTTTGAACTGTTGACCTTGAAGTTAGCAGCTCAGTAATCCACTATGCCATAGTAACCCATTAATCTGTACTGCAAATGCTGTGATAGGGCAAATATAAAGTGCTGTGTGAGCATTTGCCTTGGGGACACTTTTAGAGGCAGGATGGTACAACCATTAAGAGCAAGGGCTGTGAAGTCGCATCGCCTGTATTTGAACACCAGCTCTCAACTACTAAAATATAGTTAATTTAAGAATTCAATAGGATAATACATGCAAAGGACCCAAAACAGGGCCTGGCTTTCTTAGCAGTTACTGTTTTGATAGTTGTTTAGTTGTTGTTTAGATGTGTATGTAAGCCAGTTTGGAGGAGACTTCTAGGAGGAAGTGGTACCGACTCTGAGCCTAGAGGAGGAGGAAGTCACCTCAGGAAAGAGGAGGGTGGATTTCAGGCGAGACTGGACCTGTCTGGGGCCCTAAATGGAACTGGTACTATCTCAGAAAGAAGTACAGTGAACCCTCGTTTATCGCGGTTAATCGGTTCTAGACCCTACCGTGATAAATTAAATTCCGCGAAGTAGGATTCCTTATTCAAGTCGAAATGGCGTGCAACCTCCACGATTTTCTTGCCATCTTTGATCATATCCAAAAGTTTTACCTTTTCCTGGATGGTGAGCATCTTCCTCTGGCGCTTATTTTTATTGTCAGAAGGCTTAGAAGAAGCAGCTCGTTTAGGAGCCATCATAGGGCTTAGATAAAATTTCTTTAAAATCGCAAACAATTACAGTACACTGTACACAAGCAAAAATGCATCTGATACGTAGCTCCGATATGTAGCGATGCAGACAGAAGCGTGTACAGTATGAGCCAATCAGTGGCAGTAATGATAGAGCATGCGCTGTTACGCAAAAACAGCGATAGAGTGAAGCCGCGGAAGTCGAAGCGCGAAGTGGCGAGGGTTCACTGTATTCCAATTGTCTCACTGTCTAAGGAAAAGTATTAATGATTTCATCAGACACACAATTTCTATAATTTTGACCAGAGAAGACTAGCTTTTGAGAACTAAATGATGATTTGGAAATAAAAATTTGTTGGTACAAATTATTTGAAATCCTGTTTTTTAAAAAATATATATATACATATATGAAAAAAATTCTTTGGTATTGAAAGGATTCATCCAATTCTATTTGGTAGATTTTTAACAAGAGAAGGTAAGGGGAGAAAAGGTTCACAGGACCTTCTTCACAGGCCATTGGAGCTGGTAAAAAATCAACATATAAGGCTCCCCTCTTTGTCTTCAGTGAAGCAGACCTGCAGCTGATGCAGATCTTTGTGAAGACCCTGAGAGGAAAGGCCATCACCCTCAAGGTCAAGTGCAAAGACATCATAGCTAATGTCAAAGCCCAAAACCAAGAAATGGAGGGCTATGCCCACCCCTACTCCCACCCAGCAGTGTTGGATTTTTGCAGACAACTGTTTTCTCAAACGATAGCATACAGAAAGAGCCCAGCCTGTACCTGGTGCTTGTCTGTTGTAGGGTGACATCATCATGCCTTCCCTCTGCCAACTCTCCCAGATGTGCAACTGGAACAACACCCTCATGTTGCCAATTGAGCAAGGTGTGTGGCCAGATCAACGGCCAAACTCACTACCATTGAGTGGATACCAGACACTGCCATCGAGTCAATGCCGGTTCATAATGACCCTGTAGGACAGAGCAGAGATCCCCTTGTGAGTTTCCAAGACTGTACCTGCTTACGGGAGTAGAAAGGCCCATATTCCTCCCACAGAACAGCTGATGGTTTTGAACTGCCGACCATTAGGATCACAACCCAATGTATAATTACTATGCCACCAGAGCTTCTATAATAAGGATCACTATTCACTAAACTCCAAGGCTCAGAGACTTCAAGAAGGTTTGCCATTAGTTTCTGGAGGAGTAAAACAAACACAGATTGGAGAGTCTATGGCACTCAAATTGGAAGATGAGCCACTACAAATTGAGCCCATGGCAAGGGAATGAGGTACCATCCTTCCCAGGAGAAATCAACCCCCAGCACATCAGTAAGATGCACTGAGGGTGTAGCGGTTGAGCATTTGGCTGCTATCAGAAAGGTTAGCAACTTGATCTTGTTTGCCCTTCAGTGAGAGAAAGGTGTGGCAGTGTGATTCCATAAAGATTACAGCCTTAGCAACATATGTACAAATGGGCTTGCCACAAGGGATGGATGTATGGATTGTGATAAGAGCTGTACAAGCCCCCAATAAAATGATTTTTTTAAAAATACAGCCTTAGAAATTCCTTGGAGCAGTTCCACTCTGTCTGATAGGGAATCAATGCCACAGCAATGGGATTGGTTCTGATTTTTTTTTTAACCCATTATGAATGTAGTTCAGTAAAGACAAATGGATGGTCATCAAATCTCCTTCCCGTATGCAGATGCTACCTAAATTGTTCCTTGAGTTAACACAGCAAGCTCTGGAATTCATTCAGCAAACTGCCATTCGGTCCCTGTGCTGGCCAACGCACTCAGCCAGGTACTTTGGTATTGAGATCCCCAGGGTCAGGATGCTGATTGTCAACAGAGTGATATTGAAAATTACAGTGCTTTTCAAGCTGAAAGGCCAAATCAGTGAACATCAACTCTCTCCCAGCCCACACTGACCCCATTTATGTTGAGTATTGCTGTCTTCAGGAGGGTTTCCAATGGCTGGTTTTCCTGAAGTAGATCACCAGGCCTTTCCTCTGAGGTGTCTCTGGAGTAGACTGCTGATGGATGTCACAGCAAACAGCCAAGTGTTCAACCCCTTGTGACAACCAGGGATACTTGGTGCTCGTTAGAAGTGCTTTATTGATCTCTACATATTTAGACTGGGTTTTTTTTCCCCTAGCAATACAATTAAAACTCCCATTGCATTTTTCTTTAGCCTTGAATTCAATTTTGGCTATAAAATTATAAACTTGGTAAAAAGTAGTCATGAAATTTTCGCTAATGAGCATTTCCCCCATTTTAACTCATACTCTATAAAAAATGAAAATTCAAAAGAGACTTTTTCATTGAAATTTTTAAAATCTGAAGATATTTTAAATATTTCTTAGTACAAAACAATCTTTTCTTTTCCTTCCTTTTCTTATAAGTTAGTAAAATTGATGGCTGCCGGGGAGGGAGGGGAAAAAATGAGGAGCTGATACCAAGGGCTCAAACAAATGTTTTGAGAATGATTAGGGCAACAAACGTACAAATGTGCTTGACACAATGGATGGTGGATGGATTATGATAAGAGTTGTATGAACCCCCAATAAAATGATATTTTTTTAAAAGTTGATGGTTGCTAAAAGTATTTGAAACATTTTTTCAGCCACTTTCCACAGTATTCTTTAATCTTCCTGATAAAGTGAACTGATACAGATTCTTAAAAAAGCATACCAACTAAGGACTATCTCAAGAATGTATAAATAGTCTTAATCTTATTTCCTCACCTCCGTTAAAGACTGGAGAATTTGTGTAGTGGAAATTCCTGTTGACAACTGTTTATGCCCTTACTGTGTCTCCCAAGATAGCCGCTTGAGTGCCTTGAACTTTCACAGCACACCGAAGTGGTTCTCACTCTTTTTCTGATCTTTCCTACTTTTTTGGACCTGTTCTTGTCTTTTTATATAAAAGAGGCCATACACTGTAAGTCAATCCTTTTGTGATTGACTGATTTCACTCAACAAAGTCTTCAAGCTCTATCCAAAGTACAGCATGTATCAAGATCTCATTTCTCCCATTGGCTGAGTAGCCTTCCATTACACATGTGTCCCACATTCTGTTTATCCACTCA